TACCTCATGCTGGTATTGACACCTTTCCCCCACACACACACATCAAATGGAAAGTGAACTGGACACCTTCTATACATTAACTCATTTGTTTTTTGAGACAGGGTCTTGCTCTGTTGCACAGGCTGGAGTGCAATGGCGCAATCATAGCCCACTGCACCCTTGACTTCCCTGGGATCAGATGATGCTCCCACCTCAGCCTTCAGAGTAGCTGGGACTACAGGCATGTACCACCACGACCTGGTAATTTTTTCATTTTTTGTAGAGTCAGGGTTTTGCCATATTGCCCAGGCTAGCCTCAAACTCCTGGACTCAAGTGATCCACCTGCCTCGTTCTCCCAAAATGCTAGGATGACAGGTATGAGCCACCGTGCCTGGCCTTATTTTGTATTCTGAGCAATTTTAATGCAATAGGCAAGATTATCCCCATATTACAGATGAGAAAATTGAGGCTCAGGGAACTTAAACATATTGCCAAGATCACATATAACTAGTTAGTGGAGCTGTGATTAGAATCCCTGCCAGTCTTACTCTAGCATCTGTGGTTTTTGTTTGTTTTTTGAGACAGAGTCTCACTCTGTCACCCAGGCTGGAGTGCAGTGGCGTGATCTCAGCCCACTGCAACCTCCACCTCCCAGGTTCAAGTGATTCTCCTGCCTCAGCCTCCCAAGTAGCTGGGATTACAGGTGGCCGTCACCACACCCGTCTAATTTTTTGTGTTGTTAGTAGAGATGGGGTTTCACCATGTTAGCCAGGCTGGTCTTGAACTCCTGACCTCATAATCTACCCACCTTGGCCTCCCAAAGTTCTGGGTTTACAGGCGTGAGCCACCACACCCGGCCGCATCTGTTTTTTTTTTTTTTTTTTTTTTTTTTTTTTTCTTTTGTTTTTAATGATGAAAAAGCCTCTAAAATTTTTCAGAGGCACATGCCAGGTCTCAGGAAATGGACAGAAGATTGAGGGAAAAGTCAAGTTTTTGTCTTATTCTTCACTTCATCCCTCCTAGTTGGGCTTGAAAGATTTGCTCCACCCCACCAAGGACCTTGAGAGAAGATACTAATGTCTGGGAGCCTCAGCCTCTACCTCATTCGTTATAACATACCCAGATCCTAGTCTAAATCCCAGGTCTAACTGAATCTCCAGTATTCCCCTGCATTGAATTGGCAACCTGAGTGTGTGTGGCCAGATAGGGTTTTTAATACTTATATGAATGATGGCGTGACCAGCCTGACCAACACAGAGAAACCCCGTCTCTACTAAAAATAATCACGTCTCTACTGGGCATGGTGGCACATGTGTGTAATCCCAGCTACTCAGGAGGCTGAGGCAGGAGAATCACTTAAACCTGGGAGGCGGAGGTTGCAGTGAGCCGAGATTGCACCATTGCACTCCAGCCTGCGAAACAAGGGCAAAACTCCATCTTAAAAAAGAAAAAAAAAAAAAAGAATGATGGGATGTCCGGGTATGGTGGCTCACTCCTGTAATCCCAGCACTTTGGGAGGCTGAGGCACGTGGATAACCTGAGGTCAGGAGTTTGAAATCAGCCTGGCTAACATGGTGAAACTCCATCTCTACTAAAAATACAAAAACTAGCTGGATGCAGTGGTGCGTGTCTGTAGTCCCAGCCACTTGGGAGGCTGAGGCAGAAGAATTGCTTGATACGGGGAGGCAGAGGTTGCAGTGAGCTGAGATCATGCCACTGCACTCCAGCCTAGGCGACAGAATGAGACTCTGTCTCAAAAAAAAAATTTTTTTTTTCTGGTGATTTCCCCACTGCCAGAATACCCTGGACTGGGATAGGGCAGATCTCTAAAGAATTAAGCCCAGCCGGGCGTGGTGGTTCATGCTGGTAATCCAAGCACTTTGGAGGCCAAGGCGGGCGGATCACCTGAGGTTGGGAGTTCAAGACGAGCCTGACCAACATGGTGAAACCCCGTCTTCATAAAGACAAAAAAAAAAAAAGCCCTTACCCGGCAGGTTTCTTACTGTGCCTTTTGGTTTTTAGTCAGTAGCCAAGATACCAGGTTTGGAGAGGGCAGGGTGGGCCCTGAGTTGAGAGAGGTTCTACCCATGGCTGCATTACAGAGTGACCTGGGACAGCTGTCCTGTGTCAGAATCCCTTTATAGTTTCCTGGTGGGAAGGGTCCATATTTAGTAGAGGATCTAGTAGATCCCTAAATTTGTGCGCACTCCTTTTGTGTCTGTATAGCCTGGAAAAAAAATAGCTAATACTTATGGACGAGGCACTGTTTTAAATGCTTTACATGTATTATATAATCCTCACAATGACCCAATGAGGTAGATACTATATTATCCTCATTTTGCTGGTGAGAAAATTTAGGCATAGAGAATTAAGCAATTTGTTCAGGGTTACACAGCTAGGAAATCGCAAAACCAGGATTTGACCTTAGTTTGTTTGGTGCCAGAGGTTATGCGCTTTCTACCACATTACTCTGCATCTTGCTTGGTCTCAGGGCCTTTCATTGTGGGTTTTCTTTGTTTTTTTTGTGAGACGAAGTTTTGCTCGTTACCCAGGCTGGAGTATAGTGGTGCGATCTCAGCTCACCACAACCTCTGCCTCCTGGATTTAAGCAGTTCTCCTGCCTCAGCCTCCCGAGTAGCTGATTACAGGCATGCACCACCACACCTGGCTAATTTTGTATTTGTAGTAGAGACAGGGTTTCTCCATGTTAGTCATGCTGGTCTCGAACTCCTGACCTCAGGTGATTTCTTCCCCCGCCTCCATGCCCCGTCTCAGCTTCCCAAAGTGCTGGGATTACAGGTGTGAGCCATCATGCCCGGCTCATTGTATATCTTTCTTTCTTTTTTTTTTTTTTTTTTTTAAAGACCAGGTTTCACCATATTGGTCAGGCTGGTCATGAACTCCGGACTTCAGGTGATCCACCCACCTTGGCCTCCAAAGTGCTTGGATTACAGGCATGAGCCACCACGCCCGGCCCATTGTGTATCTTTCTGATGACTGTGTCTTGATGGGACTTTAGGATAGTGTCAGATTAAGGGAACAGGAGCTGGTTTCCCTTTGTGTGCCCCCATCCTTTCTTCCTGATAAGTAGAGGCCCCCCCCAACCAAGACTGTCCCCTTTCATCTGTCTACAGGTCACTGCAGCCAGAGGGGTCCAGAAGAGAGAGGAGGCACTGCCTCCGCTACAGCAACTGCACCCACGATGCAGAGTATCAAGTGTGTGGTGGTGGGTGATGGGGCTGTGGGCAAGACATGCCTGCTCATCTGCTACACAACTAATGCTTTCCCCAAAGAGTACATCCCTACCGTGTTCGACAATTATAGTGCTCAGAGCGCAGTTGACGGGCGCACAGTGAACCTGAACCTGTGGGACACTGCGGGCCAGGAGGAGTATGACCGCCTCCGTACACTCTCCTACCCTCAGACCAATGTCTTCGTCATCTGTTTCTCCATTGCCAGTCCGCCCTCCTATGAGAACGTGCGGCACAAGTGGCATCCAGAGGTCTGCCACCACTGCCCTGATGTGCCCATCCTGCTGGTGGGCACCAAGAAGGACCTGAGAGCCCAGCCTGACACCCTACGGCGCCTCAAGGAGCAGGGCCAGGCGCCCATCACACCGCAGCAGGGCCAGGCACTGGCCAAGCAGATCCACGCCGTGCGCTACCTCGAATGCTCGGCCCTGCAGCAGGATGGTGTCAAGGAAGTGTTTGCTGAGGCTGTCCGAGCTGTGCTCAACCCCACACCGATCAAGCGTGGGCGGTCCTGCGTCCTCTTGTGACCCTGGCACTTGGCTTGGAGGCTGCCCCTGCCCTCCCCCCACCAGTTGTGCCTTGGCGCCTTGTCTGCCCCAGCTGTGCCTTAAGGACTAATTCTGGCACCCCTTTCCAGGGGGCTCACTGAATGCCTTTTTCTCTGAGTGCCTTTCTCTCCTTAAAGAGGCCTGCAGAGAAAGGGGCTTTGGGTTCTGCCCCCCTCTGCTTAAGAACACCGGGTATTCTCACGAGCTCACCCAAGCCAGGGTTGGAGCCCTCCCCAAGAGGCCAACCCAGTGCCCCCTCTCCCGTTTTCCGCTACTGACCAGTTCATCCAGCTTTCCACACAGTTGTTACTGCCTATTGTGGTGCCTCCTCAGGTTAGGGGCTCTCAGCCATCTCTAACCTCTGCCCTTGCTGCTCTTGGAATTGTACCCCCAAGATGCTCTCTGCCTTCTCCAAGGAGGGAGCCACAGAATCCTGAGGTGAATGTGCCCTAACCTGTTCCTCTGTGCCCAGGCCTTATGCATTAGCTGACTGACTCAGCCCCCGTGCTTCTGGGGGCCTTTCCTACCCCCATCAGCATCAATAAAACCTCCTGTCTCCAGTGGCCCTGGCTCCTCCCTGTATGCTGGGCATTAGGGGGTGGGCATGGGCTAGGGCTCCCTGGAGACTGGGAGCCTTTTGTTTCTTCTAGTAGACAATAGGCTTCGTTGTGTTCCCCTCACCCCCTAATTTCCCTAACAAAGCTCTAGGCTCCCCTCACCCCCCAATTTCCCTAACAAAGCTCTAGACTCCCAGAGGGGCAACCTTGCTCTGGTGCCTAGTCACGGATGCTGTAGTGGACTTGGGCACAAAACTTGAGGAAAGACTTCTTAATCTTAGGGCTCAGAAAGTGAGAGGTTGAGAGCCATTAGCCTAAAGGCAGATGCTCTTACAGTCATGTATCTGAGAGCTATATCTCACATCCCCAGGAAGACAGAGCTTTAACAAGAGTTGGGGTTTGAACTCAGGTCTCTGCCTAACTGAAGACTTTCAGGTATCCTAGCTTCCAGTCCTGGAATCATTACAGATAGCTCAGTCACTCCTGGACACCAAAACAGACACTTAGACCAGCCTTAGGAGACTCCAGACCTACGGGGTGCTGCTAGGAATCATGCCCTGCTGTGGACTTTCCATCATTGAGCCTGTTCTTCTCTGTTACTATCAAACAACATGAGCCCCAAGACTAGCAAGCCCAGGCAACTGTTGGCCAAAAAAAAAAAAATAAATAAAATAAAAAATTTATTTTCCTTTAAAATGCACAACCAAAACTTAGGGTTTGGAGCAGTAGGGAAGACAGGAGATACCAGGGAGCCCATTTTAGGGTAAGGATCTGCATCTGACTCCTCTATGCCATACCTTTCAAAGGAGGGAAGGGGTCTGTAAGCCAGAAGTTTCAGAAGAGAGAAGAAAATACATGCTGTGCTGGTGCTTTTTCTGTAGCAGGTCATCCTTTAGGTATACACCACCACCTCCACCCGATGACATCAGAACCCCAGACTGGTATTGGAAATCATACAGCCCACCCATCCCCCATCAGACACATGGACATGCTGATGCTTCGATAGGGAAGGGTACATACCCTAGGGCACATACCAAATCAAAAGGGTAAAGTCAGGACTGGAACACCTGAGCAGCTTTAGCAGGGGACTGTGGCCACAGGCCTGGATGTGTGCAGTAGATCATGAAATACAGTAGTCATGTGAATGACCCCGTGGAAAGAAATGGCTGTGGTTGTCAGGGAGCAGCCACTGCTCAGGGGCTCCTGACCTTAGTGAAAGGTAGCTATGTAAAGGCCAGAAACTGGATGGTGGTCATGAACCTCAGGACATTTTTTTAGCACCAAATGTTGGGGCGCTCTGCCAGCTCAGCTGAGCTTCTTGGGGCCTCTCAGGTAAAGGTGATGTTGCTTGAGGACCTCTATGCCCATATGAGGGGTGGAGAGAAGCCAGCAGCACTGGGGTGAGCCTTGGCCTATGCCCTTCTTACCCTTCCCCCATCTTCAGTAAGGCCAAGAGAGGATGTGGGGTGGGGAAGGCCAGAATGGTATCTTGTTTCTTGTTTCTGGGCAGTGGGCTGCCTCCCAAGCAGGATTGAAGGGTTCAGAATCGCTTTTCCTCAGGCTGAGAGGTTATGAGCAGCTCCTTATTCCCGAAGTCCCACCAGGCCGTCATGTGGAACGCCATGTTGGTTAGGACAACAGTGTACTCCAGGATGGCAAAGATGGTGTACACTGTTGTGAGGACACAAGGAACAGGGCATTGTGAACCTCCTGCTACCCCCCTCAGGGGCCTCTTGATAAATCACACCACCATTAGTCTGCCACTGGCAACACAATGGCAGCCAGTCCCCAAGACCACTGCCCATTATCGAAAACATCACTGCTGCCCCATAGCCCCTCATGACCACTTATGGATTCTATCCTGGCCTCACCTCCAGCCTCACAGTACATGTTGTGCCGAAAGTAGACAGCCAGCGCCGAGAAGAAGGAGACGAAGTTGATGATGAAGAGCCGCTGTTTCCAGCTGTAGGACTTGCGATCCTGGGGAATGGGCTGTTTGATCACTCTGCAGTTTGCTGGGTATGAGGGTATAGGCTCCCCTCCCAGCCCTAGCTCCTAAGGGCTGGGCCTTATCTCCCTTGGCTCCCACTAGCGGTCATGGAAGGGAGCACAGGCAGGGGCAGCCAGAATGACGAACAAGTTCATGATCCTGCCTCTGGGGGAGTGAAGGGCCAGGGAGCAGTGGTACTCTTGCCCCTCCCTTTCATACTTCAGGGGGATGAAGTATGAAAGTTACATGGAGTCACCCACCAACCCAACCTCCAAATACTGTGGGGGAAAAGAAACACATGGACATGGGCGGGGCGCTGGAATTATGACAGACCACAGTCCCTAGACACTGTTCCTAATTCACTGCCGCCTAGATGCAACTCCTCATACCCCCATTTGCAGCCTTCAGATCTTCTGTTCTCCAGTCTCCCAAACACAGTGCTACAGTCCTAGATTCTGACCAACCACCCTCGGTTTGTCCCCAAGCCCCAGCCCGAACCCCAACACCCCTTTGCCACGGTTCCCATTAGAACTCAGTTCCCACCTCACCATTACCCGGATCCTGAGGACAGATGTCCTTGATTTTCTTCTGGGCTGCCTGGAGCCCCCGCTAGGGATAGACCGTACCTCCTGACTTACTGTGTGCTTCTTGGTCAGCCGCCAGAGAATGCAGGTGAGGAGCATGTGCCCGAGGGATGAGGCGATGAACACAATGAAAGCATTTTCGTGGATGGCTGGAGGGAAAGAGGATTGGGAGCCACACTGCAGGGAGTGCCCACCCAACTAAGTAGGAAGGTCCCTATTGCAGGGAGTGCCTACACCACTAAGTAGGAAAGTCCGAATGTGGTAGGGGCAGGCCCGTCCCCTCAGGGAACCCTTCCCCACTCCTCCCTCATCCAGGCACCCACTGAAGTCCTCAGAGGAGGAGACGTAAGTGAGCACTAGCAACGCGAGGTTCTCCACGACATTGAGGCCGAAGTTGATGCGGCAGAGCGGGCGGTAGCAGGAACACGGGGAGGCGCAGCTGAGGTAGTGGTTCCAGTAGGCGAAGGCCACCAAGAAGCGAGGTGCTGAGTGCAGGCCGATGCAGAAACGCCACACGTAGCGCTGGGGCACCTCCCCGCCGATGGCGGAGCTCACCGAGGGCAGGTAATTGGGCACCTAGAGAGTTATGACCTGTCTGGGCATCTGCCTCTGCCAGCCCCTGCCACGTGGAGAACCCTCTCTCCACCTACAAGATCACTCTGGCCTCAGAAGGCTCTGCTCCAGCCCCTCCCCTTCCAGAAAGTCCTCCTTCAGGTGTCCCCACACCTCTCCCAAGAGAACTCTCTGTCCAGGTCCTGGGCCCAATGTGCTTCTCATTCCCCAGCTAGCCTGGGACTTGTGCAGGGGCATGGTGGGACCTTCTTCTCTCCCGCAGACTGGACCCTGCCTTTGTTTGGGCAGATGCTCCCTACACCCTTAGCTCAGAGCTGTGCCGCCGATAAGACACTGTGTGAGTTCCAAGACCTCAGATTTAGTCCAAAGGACAGAAATGAGTCACAGAACATCTGAGCTTTCTTAGAACAGTGCTGGATTCATTGCTCAGCTGAGATGTTCCTCAGTCTGCTCCCAGCGCCACTCATTCCTCTAGGCAGGTGTACCAAGGTGGTAGAATGGCAACCCTGCTCTGATCATGATTAAGAAAGTGGGTGTGCCAGGCACGATGGCTCACACCTGTAATCCCAAGACTTTGGGAGTCCAAGGTGGATGGATCACCTGAGGTCGGGAGTTCGAGACCAACCTGGCCAACATGGTGAAACTCCGTCTCTACTACAAAAAAAAAAAAAAGCCAGGCGTGGTGGTCAGCACCTGTTATCCCAGCTATTCACAAGGCTAAGGCAGGAGAATCACTTGAACCTGGGAGGTGGAGGTTCCAGTAAGCCAAGATCACACCACTGCACTCTAGCCTTGGCAACAGAGCTAATAGAGTGAGACTCCATCTCAAAAAATAAAAAAAGAATGAAAAAAGAAAGTAGGTGCTCCTAACCTGGTGTAGTCTAAGGAAATGATCATATTCTTGTGCATCTCCACCATCCATCTTTCCCAATGCCTGGAACTCCTACTGAAGCCTCACTCCTTAAAGCTGAGGAAAAAAGAGGGAGGGCATGGTGGCTCATGCCTGTAATCCCAGCACTTTGGGAGGCCTAGGCGGTTGGATCATGAGGTCAAGAGATCGAGACCATACTGGCCAACATGGTGAAAACCCGTCTTTACTAAAAATACGAAAATTATTGGGTGTGGTGGCACGTGCCTGTAGTCCCAGCTACTTGGGAGGCTGCGGCAGCAGAATTGCTTGAACAGGGACCTGGGTGGTGGAGGTTGCAGTGAGCCACGATTGTGCCACTGCACTCCAGTCTGGGTGACAGAGCGATTCCATCTCAAAAAAAAAAAAAAAAAGGCCGAGGAAAAAAGAGGAGATAATACACAACTGCAAGGACTGGTGTCTTGCTTGCATGAGAGGTAAAAGGATGGGGGATGACTGAACAATGGTTTAGACAGGGACAGGAAAGCCAGAGATGAGAAGAGGCTCTTAGACTCCAGGGCCTACAGCAGTGCTTTATAAACTTTAATTACACATACAACTCACTGGGGGGTTGTTTGAAAATACAGAAGGCAGGCCGGGTGTGGTGGCTCACGCCTGTAATCCAAGCACTTTGGAGGCCAAGGCAGGCGGATCACCTGAGGTCAGGAGTTCAAGATCAGCCTGACCAACATGGTGAAACCCCGTTTAAAAAAAGAAAAGAAAAGAAAAAGAAAATACAGAAGACAGCCGGGCGCGGTGGCTCAAGCCTGTAATCCCAGCACTTTGGGAGGCCGAGGTGGGTGGATCACGAGGTCAAGAGATCGAGACCATCCTGGTCAACATGGTGAAACCCCGTCTCTACTAAAACTACAAAAAATTAGCTGGGCATGGTGGTGCGTGCCTGTAATCCCATCTACTCAGG